TCAAGTTAGGTAATAATTTTATATGGTTTACATACAAAATTCATAAGGTTCATGCACATTGTTTTTCACTCTGGGCCTTTCCTTTTTCCTTTACCAATCTCTCCTTCCTCCTATAAAATTGTGTGACCCTATGTTTAAGCACTCCTCTCCTCTCCTTGGATCCTCATATAGGCTCTACAATAAGGTCCTATATAGTATTTGTCTTTATGAACCTTAGTTCACTTAACATAATGCTCTCCAGTCCCTTCCATGTTAGGTAGTAATTTATAAAATCATTTCTCCTGCATGCTGCATAGTATTCCATTGTGTGACTGTACCATATTTTCTCAATCCATTCCATTGGCTTGGGAATTTGGGCTGTTTCCATGTTCTTGTTACGGTGAATAATGCTGTTCTATGTTCATAAAAAATTTTTTCCAGTAAGGTGAAAAGAAAACCTAATGACTAGGAGCAAACATTTGGCAATACCGTCTCAGACAAGGGTCTCATAATGAAATGTTACAGAATCTTAAAGGGCCTCCAGAGGAAAAACACTGATAACCCAATTACAAAATGGGCAAAAGACATGGAAAGACTTTTCACGGATAAGGATATTCGAATGACCAACAGACACATGAAGAAATGTTCCAAATCACTGGCAGTAAGCATGATGCAAATCAAAACCTCAATGAGATACCATCTTACCCCAGTGGCAGTGGAAGTTTAGCGGAGCATCAAGTAATAAATATTGGAGAGGGTGTAGTGAAATAGGAATTCTTATACATTGTTGGTGGTATTATACAATGTGTAACCACTCTGGAAGGCAGTTTGGTATTTCCTCAGAAAGCTGAACATAGAAATTCCGTATGACCCAGCTATTCCACTACTTGGAATTTACCCTGAGAAAATGAGAACTGAGGCACAAAAAGAGATTTGGACACCATCTTGAGTTTTAATATTGCAGAGTAGTGAACAGTAACCTAGGCAGATTTTACTGGACTCTGAATTGAGAAGACGAAGCTGATAGACTGAAGAGACCAAGACAGCTAGAGTGGCATGGATGGTTAGCCCCAGGTCTCCTCAGAGGGTTTTTCTTAGGCATTTAGCTAAGTAATGATGATCTATGAATAAGAGGTCATTATTTAAGGACAGAGAAGGAACCCCCAGAAAAAATTAAAAGTCCTCTTAACAACAGACTGGAACATGTCATGATTCAGAAATATTTTGCCTCAGTTGTTGTTGTTTTTTTGTGTGCTGTCAAGTTGAAACTGACTCATAGCTGACCCTCCAGTGGATTTTTAGAGGCAGCAAATAAAAATGGAGATTCGCTCATCCTTCTCCCACCTCAGTATTAAAGTCTAATGCTTGTCGTTATGTACTGTTGAATGGCAACTGACTCATAGTTGACCCTCTAGAGAGATTTTATAGTCTGTAAATCATGTGAGATTACCCTTGTTTTTCCCATGGAGCAGCTGGCAGATTCGAACTGCCTGCCTTTGGGTTGACAGTGAAACGCCTTACCACTAAGTCACCAGAGCTCCTTGAAGCATATTTAGCTGTTAATTAAATTCTATTCTGGTTGTATAACTGAATACAAAGAAATCTAGCACAAGTATTAAAATTCACAGTGAATGTTATCTAACCAATTGTTACCAGGAATGCAAAGAAGGTAGAAATAAGGCCTATAATAAAGAGAAAACAGTGAATCAACACGAACTTAAAACTGACAAAGATATTGGAATTAGTAGATAAGAATGTTAAATCAATAATAAGCATATTTCATGTGTTCAAAAAAGTTGTGTGGTGATGTTAACAGTATAAAAGAGACCTGGATTAGATTTTTAGAGGTGTAAATCATGTCTTAGACGAAAAGTACACTGACTCGGATTTATGATGTTGTTATGTGCCATTTAGTTAAAACTGACTCATTGCTGACGCTCCAGTGGGTTTTTCAGAGGCAGTTAATCTCACAGGAGGAAACAGCTCGTCCTTCTCCTGCGGAGAAGCTGATGGATTCAGACCATGTGCCTTTGAGATTGCAGTGAAGCTTCTTACTACTACTAGGCCTACATCGGCCACTCCAGTATATTATATGTTTACTGACCACTGAAGGTGAAGATGTAATAATATAAATTCTCTAAAGAAATATACACAGAAAAAAATATTTAAATGCATCAGTAATCTGGGGGACAACTTCAAAAAGTTTAATTTATCTGTAATTTAAGTTCCTTGATGTTGATGATAGAAAAAGTATTTGATGAAATAATGGCCTCATATTTTCCAAATTTGATACAAATCTAAACTAATGCTAAGTTCTGAAACATCCAGAAAACCACACCAAGCCACGTCAATGTGACAATCTTACAGCATTGAGTCCAGAGGAGTGGAAAGAAAGGCATATTAGATACAGAGGAACAAAGAAGAAGATTCTTAAGGGGTTTTGGTTCAAATACTATAAATGAAAAGACTACATATAAAAATTTATGTAATAAGCTAAAATAGTATTTAGGGGAAACTTACAGCACTCAACGTCTTATAAAAGGTCTCAAATCAGTGACTACAATTCCAACTTCAGAAACTATAAAAAGTGAAAACAAAACCCAAAGGAAGAAGAAAACAAGAATAAGAGCAAAAGTCAATGAATTTAAAAAAATAGGAAAATATTTAAAAAAATAAAAAATAAGTTCATTGAAAAGATAAACACAATCTATAAACAACTAAGTTCCAAATTATTGAGTAGCAATGATGTCAGCTTGAGGACTATGGTGTGCCTGATTCAGACTATGGTCTTTTCAACCACTTGCTATGCATCTAAGAGCTGAACAATGACCAAGGATGACAAAAGAAGACTTGATGTCTTTGAACTGTAGTGTTGGAGAAGAGTACATGGACTGTCCAAAGAATAAACAAATATGTCTTTGAGAAAGTGCAGCTAGTGTGCTCTTTGGAAGGAAATATGATAAAACTTCATCTTACTTACTTCAGGGCATGTTGCTAGAAGAGGCTATTTCTTGGAAAGGAAAATTATTCTTGTGTTGATGGTGGAGGGTTGATGAAAGAGAGGAAGATCCTCAACCAGATGCATTGCTACATGACTAGATGACTGCTACAATGGGCTCTAGAGTGTCAAAAATTGTGAAGATTGCTCAGGATAGGAGTGCGTTCAAATCTGTTGTTTGTGAAGTTCCTATGGGTCATTCTAGACTCAGTAGCAGCTAACAACAACAACAACAGGCAAACTAACTGGTAAGGGGGGTGGAGAGGTGGATACTACAAATTACATAAATCAGGAATGAAAAGTATGGTGAATTTAGGTTATATAAATATTAAAAGGATCAGAATTAGACTCTAATCATTGCCTGAGTCAGAATTAAGTCAGAGCTAACCCTCCACTGGGTTTTCAGGAAATTATCAAACAACATCATTAATATCACATGCAAGCAAGATTCTCCTGAAATTTATCTAGAGTAATCTTCAGAGTCTCTTCTGGCATCTGTTTAGACAGTTCTGAGTTTTTCTTTCTCCTCCATCTTTGTGACAATCTTTTTACCCTTCATGGATAATATCTTCGTCATTAGTGTTCAAATCACATTTAGTGCTTACAAAATATCTGAATGAGTATGTTTTGTTCTCTGTGCACTCCTATCAGCTGACTCTTTTGCATCTTCTAACTTCACATTGTACTTATGGCAGGTGGACATAACCAAAAAGGACCAAGAAAAGATTTCAACAACAAATACTGACTTGACTGTACAGCACTAATCTTTCACCATTGCCTCAAAATTCCCTAAAAACAAATTCTCATCATGTGTCTTTTTCAGTCTGATCGTGCAAGTATTCTATTTCTTCTCTGTAAAAGGACCTATTTGCTTTCTTATTCTTGTATATATTGTTGTTGTTGTTGTTTAATGCCGTTGAGTCGTAGACGACTCATAGCGACCCTATGAACGAACAGCCTGAGCACTGTTTGTACATAGAGTTTCCAGAGGCAAGCCATTTTGGAAGTGGATGCCACTCCTGCTTCCAGGCTTGATTTAGTCGGGAAGCTCCAGCCAACAACGTCCACCATGGGTGCCCCTTACCACGATTGGCACATCACTGTCACAGGCTTCAGCATCACAGCAACCACGAGTTACCTCTGTACAGCAACACGCAGACCAGTGCTATACCACCTAGAAGAATGTTTGTATATATAGCACATGATATATAATAAATAGTGTTGGTCCCTGTACAGGTGACCTTGCCCAGTTTTCAGCACAGATGTCACTGTTTCTTCCAAGTCATCTTATTATCCCAATTTATTTGGATAAAGAAAAGGAAGGAAATAAAATATGGCTTCAAAGTTCCAAAGCAGTATCTCCCAAGTGTGAACTCGGAACTGGATGAGAAATCCCTGATCTAACCTCTACCACAGACTCTGGCTTTCTCAAATGATGAGCCGTTTGTTCCTCAGATGAGGAGCAGCCTATGTTTTTGACCTATGATAAGAAGTGAAATGACAGGAGTTAAAGCTGGCCCTTAGCTACCTAATACTGTGTTTCATGAGAGAAAAGGGGGAAGAGTCATATTACTAAATGCCAGAGGGTTGAAAGACTTAAAATTTAATCTGGTTTGAATCTCCTTGTCTATGAATGAAGGTGCTCAAATCTAGAAATGTGAATGATTTCTCAAGATTGATTTTCCAATACTTTCCCAAAGCCTTCCCTGATCTTCCTTGGCAGAAGTCATTGTTTTCTCCTGGAATCCCTCCCATGCTTTCCTTTATCTTCCTCCATTAGACTATGAGGTTTGGAAGAATTGAACCCATTTCTAACTCACAGTATTTAGGGTAGAATTGTACATGTAGTCTTGATCCTATTAGGTACTGTTGAGTTCATTCCAACTTATAGTGACCTAACACTGCATAGTAGAACTGCCTCATAGAGTTTTCTAGGCTGTAACAGATACTCTGTGAATGCTTGTGTTACAGATGACAGGGAGGAAGAGAGAAGGTAAAGGACACAAAAGAGTGGACACAAAGCTTAGTGGTTTGTTTTATCACCAGCAAACATGATGATGAGAAGCATCTGAGACCCCAAGTCTAGGAACAAGGAGTGCTGTGGAACTTGAATCAGGGAGCTGCTCAGAACTCCAGAGATGGTGTCTGCTTTCCCTTCCTTTTGCATTTCCTCTTTGATCCATGGAATAAATTGAGCCACAGACACAAACAGACCAGGCCTTCCCTTGGAACCAGATCTTATGCCCCAGCTGAAGATACCCACTTGGAAGAGCCTCTTGGATCCATACATAGTGCAGACCATGGGTGCCCCACTGTCTCCCTGGAAAAAAGAGAAATAGTCTGGAAACAATAAAAAACACTCTCAGTAAGAAAAAGGGTAGGAAGAGGAAGGAGAAGCTTGTGGTATGAAAGAGGGACCTTCTTCCTGGGCTGTCTCCTGGGATAGTGCTAAAAAGGTGTGCAAGCAGTATGAGAGGGATCCCAGGAAGAAACAGTGATCTCATATGACAGAAATATCAGGGAAAGCTTTGGGAAGTACAGGGCAGGGACTGGGCAGGGGCTGGACAGGAACTAAATACCTGGCATCTGCCCTTGGTACCTGGTTCCTTCCAGGCACAAAGCATATTTCTGGAGAGCTGGTTCACCTTCCTGCTGCATTTTCTTCGGTTAATCTGCACCACTCTCAGCTTTTGCAAGTACATGTCTAAGTCTACATGTTTGTCTGACAAAATGAGAAAGCCATTGTGAGAATGAACGTTGTATCACTGAAAGTGATAAGCCCACAAATAGTCAGGAATAGTCCCTGGAAGGCTGCAAAAAAAATTCCACAAGTGACAGACTCACAGAGCAGGTGGGCCTTAACTAGTCATTGCTATTGTGTCAGAATCAATTCATAACTGACCTTCTAGTGGGGGTTAGGAGATTTTACAGTCTTGAGAGTCTGAGAGGAGACTGCCCATCTTTGTTCTGTGATGCCCTTGAAAAGGTGCCATCTTTTGTTTAGCAACACAAGTCTCTACAGATTATGCCACCAGAGCTTCCTTGGAAGGCCTTTGACGTTTCTAATGCAAAGTCCTAGGGAGCTCTGTGGCCTAGGGGTAAGGAGCTCTACTGCCAATTCAAAGGCACACAGTTCAAATTCACCAGTGCACTGGAGAAAGATGGGCAATCTCCTCAAGTGCAATTGACTGACTCTGAAACTATCTGGAAGGTCCACTATGAGTCAGTCAGTTCTGACTTGATGGTACATAACAGCAACAATAACAACAACAACAATGCAAGGTCTTACTCAATCTCTTCTTCATTATCTCAATAATTGGTTCCTTTGCTTCTGCTTGTTTCCCTATATGAAGCTCACTCTTTCAAGAAATTATCTATAAAACTCCCATTCTCAATTTTTTTTTTCCAGAAGAACCAGTATCTCTAGAGTTCTTCTACCACCATGATCTGTCCTTGTGCAAAGTTTAGAATAGTCCATCCTCTGATCAGTGGTATCTTATGTCTCAACAAGGTCAAATTGAAAACTCAGAAAGTAATCACAATTCTAGGAAAGGTTTCCCCTACTCTATTCCCCCCCCCACACACACACACACTGCTTCAGCAATAAGATCAAGGATATCGGAGACAGTAAGTTTGGCACAGGAAAGGACAGGGTTTAGATCTGTTGTTCATGGGGTCACTATGTGTTATACTCTACTTGACAGCACTTAGCAACAACAACTAACAACTCCCACACTGGTTAGCTTGGTTCCCTGCAAAGAAAGCCATTTAAGGACTGGAGCCCAGGCTGGTCAGAATTATCTCGGGATGGTAGTCTATATGGACTTCATTAGGTGATAAACAGCTGAGAGATGGACGTTGCCCATGACAAAATGGTTCAACTGGCTTCCTACAATTCTTCTAATCTCCCTAAAAGTGCCATTAGTGTCATGTTTTAAGATTACTGTGTTCCAGGCATTTACTGGAGACCCCAAATCAATCACTTATTACATTCATGTAACTTATTTGTTCCCTATTTGTGAAGAACTCTGGTGGCCTAATGGGTAAGGACGTGTCGTGCCAAGCCAAAGGCAAGCAGTTCAAATCTACAAGGCTACTCCTCAGGAAATAGATAGACTCCTCACTTTCAATCTCTGAAAACCCATTGGAGGATCGGTTATGAATTGGTGCTAAATAGATGGCAATGGGGGCGGGGAGCAAACTTATTTGTGAAAGATGTTACTATCATTCTGTAGTTGAGAAAACTGAGGCCCAGGAAAGCTAAGAAGCTTGTTCAAGATTACAAAACTCACTCCAATATTAAACCCTAGGAGTAAGGATTTGTGCTGCTAATTCAAAAATATACGGTTTGAATCTATCATCTGCTCAGTGGGAGAAAGGTGGGTGATCTGTTTCTGTGCCATTTATATCTTTTGAAAACCCACTGGAGGGTCAGCTATGAATTGTCTCCAACTCAACAGCATATAACAACATTCTTGCCTCCAAAGGATCATGCTATATTGCCCAGGGAAACCTAAACAAGGGTCTCCTGTGGGTTACAAAGGAAAGGCACATACCATACTCATAAACTGGTACCCACTCTAACATCCAGCACCGGTCCCAGGCTGACTCCTTCTCTTGCAGGCAGATGGGCATTTTGAAGTTAGTGAATTGTATTGGTGTGGCAAGCAGGAGCAGGGACAGGTCACTGTCAAAGTGAGGTGGTTTAAAGTTTTTGTGAATAATTATCTTCTGTACTTGTTTTCTCTCCAACTTGACATCGCTTGATTTTCTGGCTCCCATGACAACAGTCACATTTACCCCTCTCATTTCTAATCTAGGGAACAAATACAATAGCATCAAGGCTAATGACAATTATACTGTATTTCAAATTTATAGACTTATTAGCAAATAAGAGAGTTTAGTACTGAATCCTACAAAGTTCAAAGCAACGGAGAACAGTGGCCTTGAGAGTAAAGATCAGGTGTCAAAGCTCAGGAAAATCTCCGAGCCAAGAAATTTATGGGTCAAAGAAAGTATAATGAATCCAAGAAAGAAAGCAAGGTGCAAACATGTGGCTGTCTTATCTAGTGCTCTATCCATAGTGCTCTGGTTCTTAAGTGTGTGTAGAATCAATTGTTATCCCTTATAACAGTGAGAGAAAAATCTCCAAATGATTCGTCAATGTGAGCGCAGAGACATAGCAGGAGACTTACTTACATTTAGATATGGTTAATTAAGTAAAAGGAAGATAGTGGGTGTAGTAGAGCAGACACTTGGAATACATTCTATATATGTAGAGCCCATTATTTCATCAGTCTCGTGCACCAAACAATCAAGCCACCCAACCCAGAGAATGCATTAAGAAGGCATACTGTAAAGTAAGACAATTCCTCAGACACTTACAGGGTTCTTTGGAAGCAATGTGCAGCTGTCAGAACCCACCACCGGTGTATAATTGAGCCTCCACAGAGGTGTTTCCGAGAGATCTGGATACTCACTTGCCATGGAAACTCGCCTTTCTGCACTTCGAATAGTTCGTGAATTTGTAACCATGATGAGTTTGAAAAGGCAGGTCTGTAGCCACATAGAACTTTTTCTAAAAGGGGGAAAAAAAACCCCAACCCAAACAGGAGCAGTTCGTGAAAAGTACACACTCTAAAATGTCTAGCCTCACTTTCAGAAACCAATCTAGTGAAGTCAGGGAAGAGCTCCATGAGAAGTTGTGTAGAGGAAAGCAGTGGAGGGACACCAGACAAAGTTGGTGGGGTCCAAGAGGAGACAGAAATCCCAAAGAGGTTTCAACAGGTAAAGTTCTATTTAAAGAACTGTAAACTGTAATAGGAAGTAGGGGAGTAGCTTTACAGAACTCTAAGAATACCCACAGGGTATATACTAGGGAAATATTTAAAGAAAGAGCAGATATATTAAAGAATGCCAAAACTCGATGAGTCCAACTGATAGCAATCATTCATCAGGGTTTTCCAGCCACAGATCTGTGGGAGGAGTCTGCCCATCTTTCTCACACATGGAGCAGCGGGTTGATTTCAGCAGTAAGCCTGTCAGTTAGCAGCCTGGAGTTAACACACTACACCATCAAGGCACTTTCAGTAAAGAATAAGGATATAAAATGGGAAAAAAAAAAATCATGATTTGTTGAAAATGAAGAATTAAAAATAATTAAGACTTTTTTGTGAGCTTAAGCTTTTGTTTCTCTAGGACAAATACACAGAATGGAACTCCTATTCTATATAGTTAATGTGTGTTTATTTATGAGACTGTCAAATAGCTTTTCAATATTATTGTTGTTATTAGATGTCACTGAGTCTAGTACAACTCATAACGGCCCTATGAATAATAGATCTGAACCTGTCCTATTCTGTGCCATGCTCACAATCTCTGAATCTTTTTAGCTCATTGCTGTGATTGCTTGTGTCAACCCATCTTGTTAAGGGTCTTCCTCTCTTTGACCCTCCACCTTTCTAAGCATGATGTCTCTTTCTAAGGACTAGCCTCTCTCAACAGCCCAAAGTATGTGAGATGAAGCTTCACCATCCATGCCTCTAAGGCAGCACTCTGGTTGTACTTTCTCCATGGCAGTCCATGGGATATTCAATACTCTTCTCCACCATCACAACTCAAACACATCTGTTCTAAGCCTGTCACCCTTATATAAATTAACCAATTTTCAGATGCATAGCAAGTTATTGGAAAGAACATGGCTTTAATCAGGTGCATTTTATTTTGTTAACTGACATCATTACTTCTTAACACCTTGGAAAGGTTCTTGACAACAGATTTCCCAAATGCAACACATTTTTAAAAAGTGTTTCCTTAGGAACTATCTGGTGTGAGAAACATATATTAGGAATTTGTAAATAAACAGTATAAAATAAAATGAATTAAAAAGATTCTTTCTTGACCACTGATACCAGGAAAATATTGATTGTGAATCCAAGTAAGATGAAATCACTGAAATTGCAATATTTTCTTCATCTATCATGATGTTGCTTATTGGCCCAGTGGTGAGGGGTTTTATCTTCTTGATGTTGAGATGCAATCCAATAATGTAGTCTTTTTCTTCTTTTTATTTTTTTTCAGTCTTTGAACTTCTGAAGCAAATCTTTCAAGCCCTTCTCACTTTCAGCAAGCAAGGTTGCGTCTTCTGCATAATACAAGGTTTTTTAAATAAAATTTGTATTATGTACTGGTTTACATATAAACTTTGTATACATTGTTTTCACACCGGATCTTTCTCATTTCCTTTACCCATCCCTTCCCCCACCCAACAAATAGTGAGACACTATGATTAACCAACCCCCCACCTGCCCATCCTCACCCCTTTGCTCCCACCTTCCCTCCCCCCACTTTGGTTCCTCAGACATGATATACAATAATGGTTGTATACAGTATTTGTCCTTATGAGACTGAGTTAGTTCACTTAGCATAATGCTTTCCAGTGCTTCCCAAGTTGAGTAGTGATTTAAAAAAAAATCATTGCTCCTGCATGCTGCATAGTATTCCATCATGTAAATGTACCATAATTTCTCAATCCATTTAATTGTGGTTGGACATATCTGGGCTATTTCCATGTTCTTACAATGGTGACTAACACTGCTATGAACATTGGTGCACAAGTCTCCACTTGTGTCCTAGTTCATTTTCTCAGGGTATATTCCAAGCAGTGAAATAGCTGAATCATATGGAATTTCTATGTTCATCCTCCTGAGGAAGCGCCAAACTGTCTTCCAAAGTGGTTGTACCATTTTGCAATCCCACTACCAATGTATAAGAGTCCTTGTCTCTTCAGATCCTCTACAACATTTATGACTTGCTGTCCTGTTAAACTTTGCCAACGCTACTGGAGTGAGATGGTATCTCACTGTGGTTTTGATTTGCATCTTTCTTATTGACAATGATTTTGAGCAGTTCTTCATGCATCTGTTGACGACCATCTGAATATCCTCTTTTTCAAAATGTGTTTCCATGTCTTTTGCCCATTTAGTAATTGTGTTATCAATAGGAGGCCCTATAGGATTCTTTAAACTTTTGATATGAAACCCTTGTCTGAAATGGTATAGCCAAATGATTTTTCCTAGTTGGTAGGCTTTCTTTTCACTTCGTTGGAAACAGTTTTTTGGTTTTTTTATTTTTTTTTAAGGGCTGGACTTGCTCAGTGTTTCTTTTCTTTTTTTAAATTTTATTTTATTATTTTTGTGTGAGTGTACCATCAAATCAGATCTTCTAACTGGTACAGGAGGAGATTGTCCCTCCTTCCCCGGCAGAGCATCCGGTGGATTCGAACCATTCACCTCTGGGATTGTAGTTGCAGCTCCTTGCCACTAGGCCACCAGACACCCCCCCCCCGAAACAGTTTTTGATGTGCACAGGGATTTAATATTTAGAAGGCCCCATTCTTCAGTTTTATCCTCTTCAGATTGTGCATTTCTGGCTGTATTTGGCAGTATTTTTATACCATAGAGTAGGCCTTCTAAGCTTGATCCCACTTTGTCTCTGATGACCTTTACAATTTGGGATTTTACTCCCAGTTCTCTGATTCACCTTGAGTTAATTTTTATGTATAGTGTGAGATGTGTATCCTGCTTCAGCTCTCTACAGGTAGCAGTCCAGTTTTGCCAGCACCAGTTGAAGAGGTTGTCATTTCCCTATTTGATAAGTTTTATTTCCTTGTTGAGTATCAGTTGACCATACATAGCTGGGTCTATTTCTGGGTTCTCAATTCTGTTCCTCCGGTCTATGTGCCTGTCATTATACCAGTACCATACTGTTTTGGTTACTACTGCTGTGTAGCAGGTTTTGAGGTCAGGGAGTGCTATGTTTCCCACTTTATTTTTGTTTTCCAGAAGCACTTTGTTTATTTGAGGTCTCTTTTCTCTCCAAATGATCTTGACAATTTCCCTTTCATCTTCTTGAAACATGAATTAGGTATCTGTATTGGGATTGTGTTGAACATGTAGACTGCTTTTGGTAGAATTGTCATTTTCACAATATTGAGTCTTCCTATCCATGAACGGTAAAGACAGGACTTGAAATACTTGTATAGAATTTCAAAGACTATAGCCTTTTTGGTTGGCTATTGTAAATTGTATTGCTTTCTTAGTTTCCTTCTCCATGTTTTCTTTGTCACTGTCGAGGAATACCACTAATTTTGGGATATTGATCTTGGATCCTACAACCCTGCTAAATCGGTCCACCAGCCCTAACAGGTTGGGTGTTGGGTTCCCTCCACCCTGTTCCAAGACCTTGGGGTTTTTGTGTTTACTATCATATCATCTGCCTGCAGTGACAGTTTAACCCTCTCTCTGCTGATCTGGATGCCTTTTCTCTTTCCTTTTCTTGTCATATTGCCCTAGCAAGTACTTCTAGTACAATATTGAAAAGTAGTGGTGACAGTGCACATCATTTTCTGGTCTCTGCTTGCAAGGAAACTGCTTTTATTCTTTCTCCATTGAGAATGATAGTGGCTTTGGTTTGGGGTGACTGGAATGCAAAAGTTGGGAACAGAGAAGAAGATTCAGTAGTTGGAAAACATGGACTCAGTGACAGAAATGGAGCTGGAGATAGAATGATTGAATTTTGCACAATCAATGACTTACTCCTTGCAAATACATTTTTTAAGAGACATAAATGCAGGTTATATACATGGATTTCACCTGATGGTATGCATAGGAATCAGATCGATTACATCTGTGGAAAGAACCACTGGAGAAGCTCATTATCAGCTGTGAAAACTAGGCCCAGAGCTGACTGTGGAACAGACCACCAACTACTCATATGCAAGTTCAAGATGAAGCTGAGGAAAATTAAACCGAATCCACAGGAACCAAATCTCAGGAACAGGTTTGAGACCTTGAACACTAATGAGCGAAGACCAGATGAGTTGTGGGAGGATATCAAGGATATCATCCAAGAAGAGTGTAAATGTTCATTACAAATACAGAGGAGGAAGAAAAGAAAAAAATGGATGTCAGGAGAAACTCAATATTGCACTGGAGCACAGAGAAGCCAAAGCACAGGGAAGAATTCAAGATACTAAAGAGCTGAATAGAAGATTCCAAAAGGCATTGCAGGATGACAAAGTAAAATATTACAATGAAATGTGCAAGGAGCTGGAGTCAGAAAATCAAAAGGGCCGAACTTGCTCAGCATCTCTTAAGCTCAAGGAACTGAAGAGCAAATTCAAACCTCGAGTTGTTATAATCAAAGAAGCTTTGGGCAGAAAATACTTTTCACTATGTTGAGGAAATTTCCTTCTATTCCAATTTCATTCAGTGTCTTAATTAGGAAAGGGTGTTGGATTTTATCAAATGCCTTTTCTGCATCAATTGCTAAGATCCTATGGTTCTTGTCATTTGCTTTGTTAATGTGGTGAATAATGTTGATTGTTTATCTTGTGTTGAGTCATCCTTGCATACCTGTTATGAATCTCACTTAGTCTTGATCAATTATTTTTTTGAGGTGCTTTTGGATTCTATTTGCTAGGATTTTTGTTAAGGATTTTTGCATCTTTATTTATGAGAGATATTGGTCTGTGGTTTTTATTTTTTGAAATATCTTTGTCTGGTTTTGATATTAGGG